TTCCTAGGGTTTTGCCAGAAAGACAGTAGGACAATCTCCTGTGTCCTATGAAACCTTGAGGCCACTTGGGATAAATAAAGAGGGTCCTGTCTAAGTACTACCCTGTCCTCTAATACCACCAGGAAGGGTTCCTCTCCGTGCACGCCCTTTTTCTAAGGATCTTCCTTTCGAGAGCCAAGCCATTAGCCGAAAAAACTCCATATTGGGGTGCTGAGTTGGCTTCTGTAAGAGAAGATCGCACCTCATTGGGAGACTACGGCGGAGCCACGGCCCACCTCTTTAAGATGGCGAACCAGGCTTTTCTTGGCCACCACGGGACCAGCAAGGTCAGTCTGCAGCCTGATCGGGCCAGTTTCTGGAGTACCCGCAGAATAAGTGGCAGAAGAAAAGCATATGGAAATCCCATTCCTGTGCTAAAGCATCCAGGCCTTCGTATCCCTGTTCCCGAGCCAAGGAGAAATACAGTTTCACCTTCCTGTTTCTCCCGCAGGCAAAAATATGTCTATCTCCGGGCAGTCAAAGACCTGACTTATCTGAAAAAAGACCTCAGGAAAGAGTCCCCACTCTCCCTAGTGCGCTAACGGTCAGTTGAGAAAGTCTGATTTCGTGTTGACCGACCCCTTTATGTGGACCGCTGACACCGAAAGCACTCTGCTCTCTGACCATCCTAGAATCTCCTGAGCTAGGTCCAGGAGATTCCGGATCTGGTGCCCCCTGATGATTCAGGTGTGCCACTGTTGACATTGTCTGACAGAATTTGGACTTCTTTTCCTTCAATCCTGTCTGCAAAGGCCTTCAAGGCCTGACTTTCTGCCAACAGCAGTCTGCAGTTGGAGGAGGTCCCCTTTTTGCTTGGCTCCCACGGGCCTTTGGCTTGTTGGTCCTCTAGATGAGCCCCCCAGCCCTATTCGCTTGAGTCTGTGGTTACACGAACTGGGTCCCACTGCGCCCAGTCTCCCTTCTCCCAAATTCTGGGGCCTGAACCACCTAGAGAGGTCTTTATACTCTCCGGGAGGGAAACCCACTTGTCCAGCGACTCCTCTTTCCTGTTCCTGGAGGATAGAAGGAAGAATTGAAGCTCTCTGGAATGTAGTTGTGCCCACTCCATGGCCGGAATGCAGGCTGTCATGAGACCTAGCACTCTCATGATATGCCTGCGGAAGCAATCTGAAACCGCTATCAGAGCAGAGACCACCCTTGCTACCTTTTTAGTCTTCTCTTGGGGAAAAAATAGTTTCTGGACTCTGGAGTCCACTAAGTAACCAAGAACACCTTGGTTTGGAGTCAACGAGGACTTCTCCCTATTGATGATACACCCCAAAGATTTTAAGGTTAAGAACACCTTTTCCAGGTCTCTCAGGACTTGGTGCCATGAGACTCCATGGATCATCAGATCGTTTAGGTAAGAAATAAGGAAATTTCCTGAAGGTGTAAAAAGGCTACTACCTTGGTCAAAGACCTTGGTAAATATTCTCGGACTGGCTGCTAGTCTGAAAGGGAGAGCTGGGAACTGCCAGTGACTGACGCCCTGCTCCGTGAAGATGGCAAAGCATAAGAAGGCTTTGCACTCTGGGAAGATGGGAACATGAAAGTATGCGTCCCTGAGATCCACAGTGGCCATAAAGACTCCTTTGAGCAGATGCTTCCCTACACTGTAGATAGTTTCCATACGGAACTTCTTGTACAGTAGGAAACCATTCAACCTTCTCAGGTTTATGATCAAGTGGAATTTCCCTAAAGGCTTTGGGACCACAAACACGTGGGAATAAGATCCCTGAAACAATTGGTCCACTGGCACGGGGACAATTACCTCCTGTTCCTCTAAATCCCTTATCCCTCCCAAGAGACCCTCAAACTTTTCCCGTCTCTGGGGGGATAAGTCAGCACAAAAGTATAAGGGGGGACAGAGGAGAATTCCAACTGGTACCCCTCCCTTATCAACTGCAGGATGTACGGGCTCTCCATAATCTTCCCCCACTGCTGAATGATTCTGGACAGCCTTCTGCCCACCCTGAAGTCTATGTCATTTGGAGTCCTTACTGGTGGGTTTGGAGCCAGAAAAAAGGAAACTTCATTTTTCTCCCCCTTTATTGGCCCATTTTTTAGGGGAGTCTTTGCTAAACCTTTGTTGGCCCTGATTAAGGAGAGGCATGAAAAATCCTCTTCCTCTTATAATTTTTGGCCTTGGTAGGGAACTTCTTCCCTTTTCCAGTGGACCTAGATAACACCTGGTCCAGCCCTGGGCCAAATAAAAAAGAACCCTCAGAGGGTAAACCACAGAGACGGGCTCTTGAAGTTTGAACACCTTCCCCGTTTGATTGCCCTCTGCCACTGCCTTACCAACCACCTCCAGGGAATCAAAGACCTCTTCTGACTGGGTTTCCCCTTTTTTTTCTTCGTACGTCACGAGACATGGTCAATTACTCTGTGCATCCAAGCTTCAGCATTTCTAGAGATGCAGGAGGATGCCAGGGCTGGGTCATAGTAGCGGCACTGGCATCCCAGCCTCTACGCAACAATGTCTCTGACCTACGGTCCATCTGGTCTCTGATGTTACCTGAATCCTCAAAGGACAGGTCAGACTTTTTAGATACTTGTGACAATGCTCCATCCAATTTAGGGCTTTTGAGGAATTTCTCCTCCTCTTCGTCCTCAAAGGGGTACCGCCTCTTCCAGGTCTTCAATTTTGGGAGCTTTCTCTCCGGCTCCTTCCATTCTCTTAAGACAATATCTTTGAGAGTCTGGTGTATGGGTAGCACCCTAGCTTGCGGCCTCACAAACCCCCTATACATCTTGTCTTGGGCTGAGACCTGCATTGGTGGTTCTGGAATGTCTTCCGAGGCATAGATAGCCCTAGGGAGCCCTTCCATGTCTTCCACAGCAAAGAGTTGTCTACCTGGTCTAGATTCCGCACTAGCCACACTAGCACCTTCCAAATCTTCCGCTTTTTCCAAGGAGCTTTGGCCAGAAACCTCTGCCTCCTTCAAGTCTTCTTCCTCCGTGACCTGAGAGGACGAGGGACCTAAACCCTCCCACTGCTTCCCCATCCAAGCTCCCTCCTGGTAAGACGATTCTTCCCTAGAGGATCAGGCATCCGCCTCCCTAGCTGTCAGGGTTGTCTTGGAGGATTGTAAGGTGGATAACATTTACGTCTGCACCGACAAAAAATCCTTCATAACCGCCGAGGTTTCTTACCAGCAACTTGTGGATACACTTATAACAAAAATGGTCTGGCGTGGTCTTGCGGGACCTTATCGTTACAATAACCACACCACTTAGAGCAGGTGAGGGCTTTAGCTTTAGGTGTTTTGGGGCACTCTCCTAGGGAGTTCCACGCGGCTCTAAGGAGAGATAAACAGGGGCCCAGGTTAGAATACTCCTTTCCCCCCCCACCGGGTTAGAATATTCCCTTCTAATCACACCTATAGGGAAGTGGGTAAGGTCTCTACCCCCATCAGCCGTGTCCCACTCACCACCCGTGATCTTCTCACTGGCTGCAGCTACTGCTTTGCCTTCTATCTTGCAGGTCCCTTCAGGACTGCGCTGGCTTTGCCAGGCGCCAGGACTTCCAGTTCTGAGCCCTGGGCTCTCACTGGAGAAACCAGCGAACAGACCTCACGACGGCTGCCCCAACACGCGATCTAGCTGGCCGGTCTCAGCATACCTGTGAGAAGCGTCTCGCGGCCCGGTCCTCACCAGACATGCCTCCCTGCTGCCTTGGAAGTAGGAGGAAGGCGCTTGTCCCTGGAATGCTGGGACACCTCCTTAGTGCCCGGGAAGCTCCGCACCAATGGGACCCCTGGAGTGGCTTGGCTACTACCCCCCAGGGGGACCTTCAGCCCCCAACCTTAGCTTCACAAAAAAAACCCCAAAAAAACCCAAACACAAAAGTTTAACTGCCAGGGAAACACAATCAAAAACTGAGGAGTATATGGAAGGGCGGGGTATTTAAACACTTTCATTTGTGGATTGTGTTTCCTATCAGGTGGAGCTAGTCTAGTCATCTCAGGTGTGCCGTCCTGGAAGATGACTAGGGAAAGTCAGCTAAACCTATTAAAGGCTCATTCACATGAGTTTTATACGCAGCAGTACAGAAGGTTACGGGCACATTTGCATAGCTTCTTTGGGCAGCATAATGTTGTGCTGCATTGAACATATAATATAAAATATTATTCTGTACGTATGTAAAACGTTTGTGCGGTGTGTAACATAGTCATACGTAGAGTGTACATTTTTTGGTGATACATAGAGTGACCTCAGCCTTCAAGCATTCAGAATCAGCCAGTCTTTCTGCACATGCCATGCATGATCTATTCAAGGGGAGAAGCAGAAATCAATAGTGTGTATTCATGGATCAGCAGCAGCAGCAGCAATGTGACTGGCTACACATTGTTGATATTTACATGTCAGCCCTGAGCAGTGGCCTTGGCCAATGTAGTATGTAAATATTAGTACAAATGTTACATACATATTAGCTTCTTTTTATGCAGATACTGCTGGCAGAAAGATCCTGCATGAATCAATAGAAGTTCATGAATATGTGCCTGTTCAAGTTGTTTTTTTCCATCTACCATTGTGTGCACTGACTTATGAACCCCTACTGCTAAGCAAACTAAACTAATGCAATTTGCATTTGCCTTGACACATCCCATGGTGATTAGATTAGGGTGGTTGTATTTTACATTTCCAAAAGCTTTTATTAGACCACAAACAACATACATGACATCTCCACAGAGGCACCCTATTCACCAATGCCTTTGAACTGTGAGCATGAACAAGCTCTTTGTGCTGACACCTGGTTAGCCACAGTGGAGAAGAGGTGCAGGTCTGGAGCAGTGCCATTTGCTTTGGATGTGCTGCCTATGTGGATATAAATGCTGGGGTATTCGCTCTACACTCATTAGAACTGAAGAAGCAGCTTCAACATTACAGAACATGTCCAGCAAAATATTACTACCTACTATTAGCACATTACAGATGACTTGTACATCAAATGTTACCTCTGCCATTGCTCTCTGGATAGGCGTGACCTGGTCTGTCTGGAGACCTCTGGAAATCAGAATTTATGAATGGCCTTCCATTGGGGTAAGAGATATACGAAGTGCCGGACTCTGCACCTTTAGAAGATCCAGGCAAGGGACTGTTCAGCTAAAAAGAGAGTAAAACAAACTGTAAGAATAACATAGCTTACTGGTGAAAAACAACAGGAGTGGAAAGATTTGTGTGTCTCTATAGCCTCTTTTTTATTTTGAAAAACAGATATTGTTTAGACACCTGTCAGGTTTATAATTTTGCCATATACATCCTATTCAAGAGATTTTTCTTCACTTCCTGTCCTATAGAGACAACAGGGAAGTAAGTGGAAAACTTTCCCAAGTGAGGTAAGTCCTACTGTAAGTGGTTGTCTCCGGAAGAAGTATCCCCATTGGGAGTTATCGTCAGAAAAGGAATAGAGGAGGGAACCTAAAAAGCTGCATTCTTCCTCACTTCCACAGTCACTGGGACAAGCAGAGTGAATCTCACTAATGAGGATGCAGAGCAATAAAAAAAACCTGACAGGGACTCTAAACCCTCGCTGCTATATCTAAAAATATTATAAAAAAAAAAAAACACACCACATGAATGTAGATTTTAGCAGTAAGTATTGGGAGGCAGAATATAAATGACCAACAGAAAAGACAAAGAAAATTGGCACCATTGGCTCCATGTGCATAAGGCAGTAAAGAGTACAGGAAGTCAAATCAAACAATTACATGTACAGTAAATCAGGTAAATTCTTCATGTCGGAGCTTACACAGGGTTAACACTTGGTTCACCAACTTTTGGAAAAAGAGGAAGGTATATTGGCCCAACCACAACCAGTCCTTTTTTTTTTTGGAATGCATCGCAGGTGCCATTCAAAATGAACTGCACAGTAACACTTTAACGCATGTATGATGCAGCAATGCATGTTATCTCTATGCAGAGGTGTGTTCCCAATCTATTACAGTTAAAAAAACAAGAACCAAAAAAACAAAAACACACAGTAAAAACTACTTAGAAAAGCTTTGAGTCTGATGTTTCAATGTGAAGAAACAAAAACTACTGCCCCATAACCTCCAGACAGTTACAATCCGATCTGATAAGTGTGAATATGAGGTGTGTCCAGAACATAACGACACTAAAGAAGGGCTCTGCGAAGGGAGAAGCTGGCCAAGGTCACTTGAGGTGAGGTGCCAGGTATACCTTAGAACACTAATCAGTTGCATTCCAGTCCTGTCAGAGTGGAGACATTCTTTTTTGTGACCCCTTTTAAATTGTCTAGTATTAGGAAAAATGCGAGTTTGGAAGAACAGTACGAGATAAAATTTTGTGTGAAATTGGGTAAAAGCGCATCAGAAACTTTGGAAGTGGTGAGGAAAGCGTATGAAGATGCTGCACTATCATCTGTACAACTGTTCAGATGGCACAAGGCCTTCAAGGAAGGTTGAAAATGTGTTGAAGACGAACAACAATCAGAACGACCCTCTTCATCAAAAACAGAACAGAATGTGAATGCAGTGATTGAGTACGATCCTGAGAGGAAGAAACAAAAGTTCAGAATGGCGCACACCCACATCACCTCGCCCCAAGAAAGCTCGATAAGCAAATCAAAAGTCATTGTTTTGTTTTCTTATTTACATGGAACAGTCCATAAGGGAATCAAAGATTTTACCTGGAAGTTCTTGGTTACTTGAGACAGAGTTTTTTGTGTTTGCGTCCTGAGATCAGCTCAACTTGGATCCCTCATCACGATAACGCACCAAGTCACAGTGCTTTGGCTGTCAGAGAGTTTTTTGGCTGAAGAACACATCACGTTGTTTCCCAATCCACACTACAGCCTCAACTTGGCTCCTTGAGACTTTTTCATTTACCAAAGATGAAGAATGATTTGAAAGGACACCATTTTGGTAGTGTGGATAACGTCCAAAAAGCCACTACCAGGAATGTTCAATTTATATCTCCCAATGCCCAGAAAATGTAGTTCTGGGTGTAAGGCAGGTAGTTTTTTTTTTTTAATGTTTAGTCCTGCTGCGAGCAAGGAGCATGGCTCACCTGTCAGGTGGAAACATTTCTTCCACACAGCCCATTACAGTGCCAGCCTCCACCCCCCTGCCCACTATGTCTCTTCGGGCCCTGCTTGCCCATCTGTGGGCCCGAGACAGGTTCAGTGGGTGCAGGAGGGTACAGGGGAGAGAGGAGAGCGGACACGTCCACTCCCCTGGTCCTGACCCGGACGAGATATTATGACGTCACTTCCGGATCCCCATTGACATATTTCCCAGCCATCAATGCCAGGAAAGAATGTAATATAGTGCAATGTGCACTGCATTACATCCAGTGAGGTACAGGGGAGACATTCAGGGTCTTTTAGACCCTGGATGACTTAATAAAGAGAACCTGTCACCAAAAATCATCATAGGGGGCTTTTTGTCCCCTATGTGAAGAGAAAAAAAAAGGGTAAAGTTACACCCAAGCACACAACTCCCCCTCAAAGCACATGGTGGGGGCGCCTACGCGTCGATTGCGATACACGTTACATATCGCTGCGCACGCCAGAATAAGAGCAATAATTCTAGCACAAGACCTCTTCCGTAATGTTAAATTGATGACCTATAAGGGGCTTTAAAAACATTGCCTATAGAAAATATAGGGTACTAAAGTTTGTTGCCATTTCACAAGTGCACGCAAATTTAAGGTTTGACATGTTGGATATCTATTTACTGGGTGCAACCTCATCTTTTACATTTTACACAAAAAATGGGTAATTTATTCCTTTTGTGTGCCCTAAAATTAATGTAAAATTTATTTTTTACTGAAATTTTGAGTTTCCTAGACTTTTGTGGTAATAACATGTGACATAATAAATTGGAACTGACCCTATTTTATTCTCTAGGGTCTCTGCTTTCAGAAAATATATCATGTTTGGGGGTCTTGTGTAATCTTCAGGCCTAAAATTATTTAAACGTGTGCTAAAAACGCAAAAACAAGCCCTGGAAGCGAAAGGGATAAACTCGACACTCCCTTTCCTGACAAGCACCCAATCGGTGCTCATTACACTGCATTGTCTCTCCCCTTCCCTGCTAGTCCCCAGGGTGCGGTGCTGGAGACAGACAGGGAGGCGAGGAGGAGATAAACAGTGGAATATTAAAAATATTAAATGTTTGAGTCGCAATGAAGCCCCTTTCGGACTTAAAAGCCCAGACATTCCTAAAAAGCACCTCAGATTTAAATACGGATTTAGTTCAAATATATATATATTTTTTTCATCTGGACAAGTAGATTGCCATGGGGACAAGTGGATTGGGACTCTAAATTTAGTCCCTGGCCAAGTAATTTTTTTCAAAAAATTTTCCACACCCCTACACTAAGCAGGCTCTGAACATCATCCCACTTGAAGACTTCAGGGATGCATGAAGTATGGAAAAATTGCTGGGAGCGTTGTGTACACTCACAAGGTGCATACTTTGAATTGTAAAAAATTTTCAATAAAATAATATTTCAAATATAATTCTCATCACGTTCTGGACACACTTCGTATGTCTGGTCTGTCTGTGGTCGAATGACTTCAAATCTTACATGCAGTATGTGGGCTGCCACTATGGGCTTGATTGGAAAAGCACAAGCTCCTAGGCTGCCATGCTCTTCCCTGGCTTTACTGCTTCAGCTCTATTGCTAGGTATCACGTGCTGCCTGTAGGGAATGCTTGCCTGTATGACTGCCTGTGCGGACAATCATAGCTCTGTTGCAGGTCTAAGCTTGCTGAAAAAAATCTTCTACAGCGGGCATGTACATGAGAGTTGGGTGCCCAGTCCCCTGACAGGTGCTGTGGTTTCATCCACCATCCCTTAGGCCCCTTTCACACGGGCGTTCTGTATGTCCATTTTTCATTTGTCCATTTACCGATGAAAACCGGACACCCATGTATTTCTATGGACTAGCGGATGATCATCTGTTTACATCCAATAACCCCTTGCCCTCCAGAGGATTTACCTCCCTTCCTGAACAGGCCATTTATTGCGTTACGGTGCTGTGTTACATTAACTGACAATTGCACGGTCATGCAACGCTGCACCCAAATGAAATGCAAGTCCTTTTTTTTCCACACAAATAGAGCTTACTTTCAGTGGTATTTGATCGCCTGTGCATTTATTATTTTCGCTATATAAAAAAAAAAAAGACTGAGAAATGTAATGGATGAAAAACGGATGTAAATGGACAAAAACAGATGTAAATGGATGTAAACAGACAAAAAAACGGATATAAAAAGGACGAAGAACAGATATAAACTGATGAAAAACAGATGCTAACTGATGAAAAAACAGATGCGAAACTGATGAAAAACAGATGCGAACTGATGAAAAACAGATGCGAACTGATGAAAAACAGATGCGAACTGATGAAAAAACAGAAAAAAAAACAGATGCGAACTGATGAAAAACAGATGCGAACAGATGCGAACTGATGAAAAACAGATGCGAACTGATGAAAAACAGATGCGAACTGATGATGCGAAAACAGATGCGAACTGATGAAAAACAGATGCGAACTGATGAAAAACAGATGCGAACTGATCAAAACTACTGAGGTGAACTGATCAAATACTGAGGTGAACTGATCAAATACTGAGGTGAACTGATCAAATACTGAGGTGAACTGATCAAATACTGAGGTGAACTGATCAAATACTGAGGTGAACTGATCAAATACTGAGGTGAACTGATCAAATACTGAGGTGAACTGATCCGGTTTTTCTTGGAAAAAATGTGACTGAACTGATGAAAAAAATGGACCCGCCCGTGTGAAAAGGACCCTTATGTCACTAGTAGCAGCTAGTATTTAGCAGCCAGCAGTAGAAACCGCATTTCACAGAGGGGGGTGTCAGACGCAGAAGATTCTTCAGGACATTGTATCTCTGCAAAAGAAGGAAGATCTGGTCATGATAGGTAAGCCAAAGTGCTTACATTGATGGCTAACCAGACTTCCACTTTAGGCCTAGATCATGCAGCACATGCCTTAAAATGCACAACACCTACATGCAGTGGCATGCATTTTCTTAACACACTCTTTTTTAATGTATGTGTCAGTGCATTTATTATGACCCCCCTTTTTAACGCTATGCTTTACCC